TTTTTGTTCTTTTTGCCTTTCTGGGCAGGTTCCTTCCAAGCAAGCACGATCTTTATATAGAAACGATTTCTTCTATTTGAAAGACTTTATGTCAAATAAATGTACAGGTCCTGTTTTTTCCTTTTGCCTGATAAGAAATATGCAAAATATACCGGACAGGTTTTCCCTACACTCTCTTCTATAATATATATATATATATATGTCTCATAGGAGTAATGTGGCAACCGCCTCGGCGTGATCTGCTGGAGGTCCTATGACCTCTGGCTTCACCTGCAACACAAAAACGTTGAAGGAATATCTTCTATTTGATTTGACCGCCGAGGAGGTGAACAAAGATATATAATGCTTGATCGACGACAAAGTGCCTGGCTACTTGTAGTAGCTGTCTGGGATTCCTGCCAGGAAATTTTTGGAACGGGAGAAATGAAGGCATTTGTCTATCTATTTGTCTATCAATCTCTCCCTCCCTCCCTATATACATATATATATTACACTGCTTATACAGCGATACAGCGATTGTTCAATCTTAATATTGGTCCCCCCTTGCCTTGGGACCAGCGCAGCAAATGCAGGCAAACTTCTGGGCCCTGTAACGAAGGTGGAGCACTGCCTCGATCTGGCTGGATTTGTTTCTCTTGGCTGCCATGCCAGATTCCTTGATCTCTGCAAGCAGCGCTTTGGATGGTAAACAATCCAAATGAGCAAGGCAGCTCTTGGCCCACATCGCTGCAGCCACAGCCGCTGCTTCGTCGTTGGCTGCGAAACTGTGTGTCGACTGTCCCACCTCCAATCTCCATTTCTTCCAGCCACCATGGAATTTCAGCTGTTCTGGTACTCCAAGCATGTCTTGGTCGCTGATTGCTTGAGAAAGAGCAGCCTAAAGGGTTCATGATTTTAACGTCCCCCTATGTTCCATGAACAAACTGGTTATATATATATATATTTGGCACATGGCACCCACCATTCTGATAGTCCTGCCTGGAGGTCTTCCTTGGGGCTGATGGAGCTCAAAACAGAGAGAACCACCATTCCCACATTTCCAACAATCATACCATTGCCACAGCCACGGTGCCATTGTGAAGTGTTGTCCAGCTCCACCAAACCCACACCTGCAGCTGCCGCCATGTCCTAACAGGAAATGTCAAATAGAAGATATTGTCCCTCCAATTTGGTCCGTGGTGACCTTATTTTGGCTTTCACGGGGATGATTTGTAAGACAATCTGATGTAAAACGCCAAGAGCATGTCCAAAGCCCAAAGGTCCTTATGCACAGGGAATCCTGCGAGTGACATCTTCTCTTTTGCTGACAGCCATCTGTTCAAATGCGTAAGCATTATCCTCCGTGTGCTATCAGTGGTGAAGCTGGGCAACTTGTCCTCTGAGCCAGCCATGAACATATACTCTGGATCTTGAGACACGCAAACGGCTCGTATTTGTCGGAGCTCTTTTGGCTGATCTAGCTGTCCGAGATGCTCCAAGTATTTTCTGTAGTTGGCTTGCTCATTGGAGCTGAGCAGCCCCGTCCAATCGGTCATCTCCATTGTTTTGGCTTCCTCAGCAGACATGACACTATTCTGATTGCGGTTCTCCACCATCTCTTGCCGCAGGTCCTTCTCCCACTCGGGACCGTTCATCCAGGCTACATGTTGCAATTCCACGGGTCTCATGACACTAGTCAGGTGCTCCACCAAACGCTGGTACACTTCAGCTGGGTCCCGGATCTGGTTGAAGTACTTCTCCAAGATGAAGACATCATACCTTATGTACCAGCAAATGGGTGATTGTTATTTTACCTTCACATCATAATATCTTCTATTTGAAAAGGCGAGTTGTACATGCCAATAATGAAAGCTATCCAATATCTTCTATTTGAAAAAACTAGTTGTACATGCCAATAACGAAAGCTATCAAATATCTTCTATTTGAAATGCTATCACCCTTCTAGACTGGGAGGAAGATGTAAATATGTATTCTATATTAAACACATAGATGAAATCAGTAAGCTTATATGTGTATGGTATTTTGGAAAAGGGCAAAGTCTGCTTAAGCTGGCTTAGGTTCAAGCGCTGTCGGCTGTTTGCTTTCATCGCACAGTTCTCTCCAGTAGTCTGGATACTGGTCAAAAACCGATACCCAAAGTGTCCAAGCTTTGCTGACAAATAGCTGCTTGAGAAACCCCGCACGTTTTCATGGATCAAAGCTGGGGTTTGCTTCCGTCCATGATGAATAGCCCATATGAGCATAAGCTTGTTATGAGGTGAGTTCTCCTTCAGCAATTTCCCATCGTCTTTCTTTCCAAGGGTGGAGTATCCCAAGCACATACTGCCAGTGACGTCCATGATTGTCAAGGGAAAAGAACACCTTGCAGGGATAGGTGCCTTCGCAAATAGAAGATATTGAAATTGTTTTTCTTCTATTTGCTCTTTTCCTGGGAAGGTACTAACTGCTAATTTCTATAGAAAACATCATTTGTGGTCCATGGCTGAGCCCTGTATATATATATATATATATGTACCAGGCCTGTTCTTGTGCCTGGAGCAAAGACCTTCAGAAAGAAATTGCTTCTTCAGCAAAAACTCCCACAAGTCTTCTGAAGGATTGGAGCTGGCTTGCTCAATCTTTTCTAACTCGATTCGATCCACATCTCGGAGCCTGCGCAGGATATCGATGTGCTGGCATGTATGTGCATCAATTCTATCCAGGCAAGCTTGGCGGGCCTTGACTGCTATCTCGAATTGGTAACTCGAGGAAAACGATTTCCCATCTGTCTCCCTCTTGCCCTTCAACGCAGACTCCAACATCTGGAAGGCTGTCTCTGCGCATCCGTATCCGGAAAACCAGGTTGAGATAGGCAAAGTCTCCATGGATTTCAACCAGCCCAGCTCCCCCTGCTGGTCCAGGTAGTCCACACAGCATTTGGCCCACCGGAACGAGGCCACCAGCTCTTCTGGGGGCCCCATTGCCCACAAGTCAGACAGCTTTGAGATGCTTTGAGAGCTCTTTCTACACACATTATCCCAATTATAATAGAAGACATTGCAGCTATATATCTATGTATCTGGGAGGGTGCCATTTGTACCACTCAAATTTATTGGATTCTAGCTCTATCTATTGTGGTTTCTATCTATTCTACTTGCTGGCTCTGTCCTTACTGCCTGCTAGCTCTATATATATATATATATAAATGCACCTGCCGCCACATGCTTTCTTGGGCCAGGCGGGCGATCAGAACCCCCGAAGACTAAAACAGTAAGCAAGGCCCGGTAGGAAAGTCAAATAGAAGATCATGTTCAAATAGAAGATCCACCCCACCAAGCCACATTCAAATAGAAGATATATATTTTTTGAGCAGAAAGTCCAAAATGCAAAAGTAGCTCAAAAGACCAAA